TATTATTATTATTATTTTTTTTTTTTTTTTGACAATAATGACTATCTTTGTAACTTCAATGAAAATGACAAATTATCCAAGAAAATCAAGGAAATTTTAGTGAAATATTAAGATACAGTGCCCAAGGAGATGACCGTATAAAATCATTTTTGGAAGCTGAAGAAACAATAAAATATACAAGTGAAACACTTCAAAATGAAATAATTGAATACTGTAATATAATTATTTTAAATAAAATCGTAACAAACATAAATGCCCAAAGATGTTTCAAAATACTTGCTAATGAAACGGCCGACATTGGTGGAAGCGAACAAGTAACCATGTGTGTTCGATATTTAGATGTTGAAAATATGATTATCAAGGAAGAATTCTTCAGTTTGTGCCTACAACAGATACTACTGGAAAAGGTTTATATATTATTATTCAAAGTTTACATTCATTTGGTGTAGNAGGTTTATATATTATTATTCAAAGTTTACATTCATCTGGTGTAGAAACAAAATACCTTAGAGGACAGTGTTACAATGGATGTGCTTCTATATCTGGTCAATTTAACGGAGCTCAATCTTTTATTCACCAAAGTTATCCGCTTGCGACGTTTGTTCATTGTGCTGTTCATGTTTTAAACCTTGCTATTTTTTATTCATCTTCTATACAAGAAACACGAAATTGATTAGGAACAACATCTAAAGTTAGAGATTTTTTCATATACCCACAGCGAAAATATGTGTTGAAAAGTCAAATCGAAGAAAGTCAAAAATGTATAACTAAAAAATCATTAAAACAATTATGTGCGACTAAATGAGTTGAACGTTTTTATGCTGTCAATGATTTTCTTGAGCTTTTTGTGTACCTAATTGAATCGTTATTTATAATTTCGAAGTGGAATGACACTGAAACATCATCAAAAGCAAGTAATTTACGAACATCAATACTGAAAGGAGATTTTATTATTTGTTTACTTATTATAAATAAAGTATTTAGTTATGAGTTACNTTACTTATTATAAATAAAGCATTTAGTTATGAGTTACTTCGTTTAAAACAACTACAAAGAAATTAGCAGGCACACAGCATTGTTATTATCAATGGTAGTAAGGCACATTGTTGTGAGTTTAAAAATACACTAACTGACAATACAGAAAGTATATCTATGATAGTCATAATTGATAATAAACAATCTGTGACTGCGACATTGATATCATATAAACCATTTAGCTACCTGTATTTGTAATCATCATGTGTATTGTACATGTATATTAACTCAAAAATTTGAAACTTTAAATGTTCATATCTAATAAACTAATAAAGTTATATTAAAAATTCAAATGCCATTTACTATTTAATTAAAAATCCAAATATTTTATTATATTCAAAATATGTGTTCCCATTTAAAAGACAAAAAGACAATGTTGACACCCTTACAAGACATAAGGGATGAACATAAAAAGTTTTAAATAGTTAATAATTTAAGAATAATGTGTCACTAAAGAAAACCAAAAATAATATTTAAATTATATTTATTCTACAAGTAAATGAGTGCGTTATGATAAAAAAATCAGTCTGTATACTGCAATATAGTTTATCATTTGTAAAGCTGGAAGTAAAAAATTTTTGTAATGTTTCATTTAATTGTAATTTCCTGGTCTATTATTACTAGACCAGGAATTAAATATTTATAAAAATTTTTGAAATCGATAGTATTATTAATTTTGCAAAAAGAAGAAGAACAAAATATTTTAGTATATAAGACGAAATGGAATGAATCGTAGAGGAGAGAGGACCTCAGGAGCACCGAAGGTAATCTCTTTTCGCGCGGTACGTTTATGACATTAAGTTTTCATTTTGTGTATTGTTTTATTGTGTTTTTAGTGTATATTTATTTTGTATGTTTTGCATTGTTTAATTATATCTATAATAAATACATTTGAGTTATTATTAAACTTTTATTACTTTAAGTTAAGACACTAGGGTTGTTTCTTTTAAGATACAACAGTACCAAAATTTCAAATTTCAAATTATTTGTCAATTCCTAAAATAGTAATTAGAAAAATAGTAAGTTTTTTTTACGTCAGTAAACATTTCTATAATTTTCGTTTGTGAGGTTCATTAAAAGTTGGACACCACCCGAGAAATCATTCAAAATACGCCACTGCCCGTCCATACTGTGCAACAACCCCATCGTGCTACCGTTTCTATAATTAAGTTTCCGTAAAAATCAGATGTATATGTTGATTATGTTGACATTAAAGTTCAGATAAATTTTTCTGTGAAAATTAAATTATCCTATCGTGTACACATTTAGAGTTATTTAACTAGTTATTCATATACCAAATAAAAAAAAAAGTGATTGGAATATTTATACATCAAATATGAATAATATCAAACGCATAGTTGATGAAATATGGAATCGTTGTTTCATGCATTCCACTTTTATTTACTAATATTCCAAAAGAAGGAAAAAAAAGTCATGTAAAGATGAAACAATATTTGTAAAAACCATTAAGAATAATTATTTCGAAATGGGAAAAAGTCTTTTATATAAAATATAACAAAAACTAAAAATTAGTTTCTTTTTTTTTAAATAACAATAATTTAATTAATGTACTTCAGTCTAATTAGCAGAAATTTTAATGCGATTCACTATATCTATACAGTATATACATCAGAATAGATTTGATTAATAGATTTAATTAATAACTTGTAAAAAAAGAAAATTTACTTTGCAGCAAGTTCTAAAGGAAATATTAATCCAGCAACAAATTCAGTTTCTCCAAATAAACGCTCATACGCGAAAAAATTTGAAAATTATGAAATTAAAAAAAAAAAAATTGTATCTAGAATTGTATAAGTGTATTGACCTTCATAATATAATATTCACAATTTAATGTTTGCTATTATTCAGAGCAGCTGTTTTAAGTTTTCATTTTGTCAAAAAATGAATAAAATATATGTTTAAATTTAATTTAAAACCAAAAATCTTGTTAATTTCCAATAAACTATTGTAATATTATATTATTACATATATTCCATTTATTCGTTTTGTTTATTTTTTTTGGGGGGGGGAGCTACCTAGATATGACACAATGACATAATTTTAAACTCTTATTAAGAATGAAAAATTTGGAAATCAATTTATGGATCCAGCAGGAAAAAAAGTATAACAATTCCAAAATGCAATCCATCATTGAGACAAACTTATTTGTTAGGGGAGGTACATTTTATTCACTTTATTTTATTATTTTTTATCGACGTCTGGATGAATACTGAATAGGTATAACTAGATTTATTTATTTTTCTATCAGCTTAAAAATCGTTCGTTTAAAATAAATAAAATGGGATTCTCTTCAAAAATTTTTATTTCCATCGTCAAAAGATTACTTTTATGGCATAATTAAAAAAAAAACGTACGTTTTCATTGTTTTTTTTTTTGAAGTTTAAAGTAATTTTGTGTAGTAAATTAAAATAATTCTTTTCATTTGAAACACTATTTTATTGTGTTAATAATTTCTAAAAGTTTCCTTATAGCATTTTTCTTAAAAAAATGTTACAATAATGTTTTTATAACGTTATTATAATATATATATATATTGTTATGAAAATGTGTTTATAACATAATTTTTTAAAATTGCTATCTGAAAAGTTTGTAATATGAAAATGTGTTAACAATTATTTTTTTAATGCTTTATTTCGGTTTTAGGCGATTGTTTGATTTAATTAAAGGAAAACCTACTATGTTATTGCGTTCATAAAAGTTAATGCAGTATGAACATTATGGCAGCCAAGCGTTTTATCAAATTAACTGTGATACAAACCAGACTTGTTCTGCAAATTGTGTAGCATCTCATCTCTAATCATTTTTCATTATACTCGTTATTTGAAAAACATATAGCAATAAAGATAACACGCCACTGTTATTTGTTATTTAAATAGCATTACACATAAAAATGTCAATTTTAATTATTATTAATATAAGTTTAATACACTTATAACATAATAACTTATTACAAATATTTTTTTTATTTTCACAACCAAACAGTTTTATGTAAAATCATAGTTATGAAATTAAAAACCAACTAACATTAAAAATCTTTTTAAACTCTTTATAATCATTAAAAGTATTATTTAAGGCGAAGGTTTTAAAATTTCATAGATTTAATATTTTTGATATGTGTTAGACCAAGACTTGAGACTTATAACATTTTTAAAATTTTTTTTTGCCTACTTCAAAGATACTAAATTTGTGAACATTTATTATAATTATACAAAATAATCCACTTATTATATCTTATAGTCATCTTCTAAAGTACAGAATTTAATATCATTTTTTCTTTTCGGAAGTTATTAATATCTTTTACTTACAAAGCAAGATGTAGCGCAGTGGATCATTCAGTCGCCGCCTTAGCATTATGTTTACTGTTTACTGTTGATTCCCAGATGGGTGACCCATACAAGAGTTTTACTACTGATACACAACTTTTCCCTTTAAATGTCCTCTTAAACATAATGTGGTTGCGTCAGGACGACAACCGGTGTAAAATTCTTGTCAAATTAATGTAAGGTAGAGCCGGTCCCTGATAGTTGAGATAGTGGCTAAGGATGTGATGATTATTATTGTTCTCACATACAAATTAACTTAAAAAATTATAGTACTATGTCCTCTATTTCCCCCTTAAATTTTTCTAATTTTTAGTTTATTAAATAGAAACATATGTGTTTTACAGACTAACATATAAGAAAATGATTTAACTAAAAATATAACTGGTCAATAACAACATTTGAACATTGGTTTAAAAGATATAAGTATTTTTAAGTCAATGATTAACATCACTATCATAAAAAACTTTTCGATGCTAAGCTATAGTGTTTAATTTGTAATTTTTTTAACAATCATTTTAGCTTTAATGGGAAGCTGAGAAGATATTTTTCATTTATCACTGGACCGATATTTTTCAATTATACATCAAAAAATAATAAATTGTTTCTAGTTAAAAAGATTACCTTAAAAAATTTAACAATACTCCCAGTAAATAGGAGAAATTCCCCAAAAAAATATTTTTTTTTAATTGTAAATATTGGACATGTTACTGAAAACTGTCATAAATTTATTAAAAATATATGAATCAAAATAATTGGATATATGCATTAGATATTTCCATTTTATTAGGTATAATTTTTTCGAAATAAGACCCTTTTCCTACCCACTGGAGAAATTTAAAATAACAACTTTTACACGTAAGTTTCCACTAATACTTCAAGCTTCAAACATATGCTCAATTAAAGCATATGTTGTGTACAGTAAGTTAAAACAAATAATTTGTCTTAACGCTTTATCATGTCCATGCAAATATAATGATGACCAAAATATATTATTATTATATAATATTCTATTGTATTGTATTAATTCTGTATTCATGTTTTACAATTTTCTATTTCAATAATTTTGTTTACATTTTAGATCAAATGGTTCTATAGTAAGGAGGAATAAGTACTTCACTTAACTCTTTATAAAAAAAAAAAAGTTAAAAGACTGATATAAGTGTTAGTTATGAATATCAGGAGAGAATTTTTACTTATTTTTAATTTAATGTATTTTTAATTATTCAAATATATTATAAGGAAGAGAGCTTCATATATTTGAATTTTAAAAATTCATAGTTGATATATCAAAAAATATATAAAATTAAAAAATACCAAAAATGATTTCTTAATATAGTTATCACTTTAAGAGAATTCGGGTTGCTAATATTAAAAGATTGATATTATAATCCTCCTATAAGTTTAACACTACAGATTTGCATCGAATCGATTTTGAAAAGATTTTAATCTATAACTCTCCTAACTATGCGGTGTCACCACTCTGCTACTATCCAAATGTTCTAGGTTTTTATTAAAAAAAAACTACTTTGAATTTTGAAAAATTATTTTTGATAATATAAATAAAACTATTTTTTTGCTAAAAACTAGGATAATCATGCATATGTTCCACAAACCCACTGTGCTGTTTATTTTTGAATGTAATAATACTCTTGAATAATTTTAATTTGGTATAGGCTAAAATAAGGCACATATTCCGTAACTTTTTCAATATTTATAAGGAAAAATCTTATTTACTTGTGAGGTCTTCTTCAAACCCTTTTTGTACTTTATTAAATTTTTATAGCATACCAAAAGAAAGCTTACTATCTCTAGTTATTGTGTTGAATATTCACATAAACAGTCTTTTTTTTAATGTTATAGCAGTTAAAATGCAAAATTTTTTTTGAAAATTCCGCTTTTGATGATAGTATAATTTTGACATTTTTTCTAAAAATAAAAAGTTTATTTTCTATTTTTCTAAAATCATTAGTGGTTTTTATCAATTTTCAGTGATAACAAGTTTTACATAGATTAAAATTGGATTATCTTGACTAATTGATCAATTAAAATTCTTCTAGTGAGAGTTGAGAATTTTTATGGGCAGTTTTGAAAAAAACATATTTAATTTCAAAACAAATGACAATTTTAAAGGGTATTTAAAGGGGATAGAACTATGTTTTTTGTAATAAGTAAAGTTTAGACAATACTAATAACATCTAATAATAAAAAATTATATCTAATCTAAACATTTTTTGTTTCAGTAGGGAATGATTCTCCTTCGATTTCTTTTTATAATTAAAATACATTTTTAGGGTTTGTTTTTCTGAGATAAACAATAATATCTATTTATTATTGATAGATTTAAAACTACTAAAATGAACTTTTTACATGTTTTAAGTTAAAACCCTTATTAATGACAGACACATTTCATAAAAATTTCATTAAATATTTCATTTGAGTGAAATATATATGTGATTTTTTTACTTGAATTGAATTGGGAAGACCAAAATAATTTGACATAAATCAATTGTTTATGAAAAAATTTAATTTAGACATAGTATTATTTCTAAATTAAATTTCTTATTATATATTATGATGTCATTGTATTTATCACGCAGGTTTCCATTTAACTTCCAAAATCACCCTAAACTTAACCCTTATAAATATTGTTCTTAAACTTCTTTCGGAATTTTTTTTTATGAAAAAATTGTGATAGTTTTGTTTACAAATCAATTTGAACATTTATCAAGTTTTAATCAAATACATCATGACGCGTGAAATATTAAATTATAAAATATATTAACGCTTAAAACTCTTATATATATTTTATATATATTATATCACATATATTAAGTAGTTAATAATAATAATAGATAAAAAAATATCCTTTTGTACAACACAATTTTACCCTGTTTACACATATTTCTATCATTTATTATATAAAATGTGATAAAGAATTTAAAACTGAAGCAATTAAGAATTATTTAATATCTGATTAAAACCCAACCCAACCAAATGGTATATAAACTGTTCTGAGACAAAACATATTCGTGTGTCAATTGTAACCTCACATATAAAAATGACAAAATTATATGATGCCAAATCGCTCAAAATAATTATGTATTTTGAAGAGCACCCTAAATAGGACATATTTTGTATCCCTTTCGAACACCGCATCTTTTGTCGGCAACAAGGCAGTTATCGTTTTTATTTATGTAATGCCAAGACAGAAATTGTGCCTGTCCCATCATATCGCTCCTATATCGACCCTGATTTACGTTGTCGTTTTTTTATGTAATTTTTACCCATTATAAACCACAAAACACGTGTTTTAAGTGTATAATGAGAAATTCTAAAAATAATATTTCTTTTGTATAAAATATTTATTAGAGTGTAAATTGTAGAACTTCAAATTTGAAATATTTCTTTTGAGTTAATTTAAATATAAAACGGGATTTATTAATATTACAACTTATTATTTATTGGTTAAATTGTGATTTTTTCGTAAAAAAATGTGCTGAAAGATTTTTAATTATTTTTATGAATTATGATAAATATTAAGTTTATTGCAGAAAAATATTAACTACACAATTAGTTAATATGGATGACGTTTAAAAGTTAAATGGGAAGCTATAATAAATCTTATACAATTAAACGGAGAATGCACTAAATAAAAATATTAGTATCTCGAATATTTTTTTAATTTTTAAATAGTATAGGTCATATATGATCAATCATTTTTATTTTTACAATTAAACAATACCGAAGTTAAATGATATAGATTTACATGTTTTGCCTTTAATAATATATATCAGATAGCAATAAAACATCACAAATAGTTTCAAAAACACATGGTCTTTAATTTTGATGATTTATTTTGTCATAATTATTTTTGTTTTTTAGTCTACAGATAAATATATTTCATGAAATATATCATGAAAAATACGAAAAGTATTAATTTTATACAATTTCAAAATCCTAGTGAATTGTTATTCGATAGAATACCTAATACTTTATCCGTTTAAATTAATTTTTTAGATAAATATGAAATGGTCAATATTTTAATTGAATGATCATTTAAAATCTCTCTATTATTCCGGTTTAAAGTTTGAAGTTTTTATGAAATTTATAAATCTTTCAATTTAACAAATGTTACATATCGGAATTCATTAAATTAATATTTGACGTTATTATTAATTAAAATATACTTAAAATAAAAACAATTTTCAATTATATAATTATAGTTAAACATTTGTTTTTAATTAACTTATGTGACACAAATTATTTAATTTTAAACGATAACAAAAATAGCTAAAAAATACATTATATATTTAAATGGTATATTTCTATGAAATTTTAGATAAATCTAGTATTTTTACGAAGTTTTTTTTATTATTATTAATAAATGATAAAAAAATATCAATTATTGATATTTTTTTTTGAACTACATACATCCACAACCCCGTCGTTCACTAAATTTGATTATTATTACAAGTGAAGTCAAGTGGTTAAATGGGCGAGGCACCATTGAATATTTCATATTATTTCGAGTGCTCACAACCCGTGTGAAAGTTGCCAACGATTGCATTATTATGTATACGAGCTATTTAATGAGTATTATATGCACTACATAATGCATTCGATCTAATGGATTTTAGACGTTGAGGTATGACAAAAAAATGATTTCTCAAGATTTATTTTAATAGTATTTACTACTGACCCTTTTTTACGGAGTACGCTATTTCTCGTAAGACATGAATGTGGTTATGCTTATGTAGTTTTTCATTTAAGTGGATAAATAATTTCTCATTATCATCTCTCTCTAAACCTTGTTAATTTTTAAAATGCCTAATCAATATGAATTGAAATAATATATATTTTCTTTAAATTTTTACATATTGTTTACATTTTAAATAAAATCTATTCTTATTTTGCTATACGAAATACATCTGATGTACATAAAATATTCAATTATGAACATAAAACAATTATATTTTATTCATAACTAACAGTTCAAAAGAACCGCCAACACGACATACATTCATTCCATTGTAGTAAATTTCAATCGGATACAAGCGGCATTTAGTTATATTTATATGGTATTCGACACACGTGTAAAAAAATGAAAAACTTTAATGACTTTATTAATAACAACGGGAAATGCAATAAAATAAAAACTGTAACATTGTGTATATACAAATTTATTAATGATCGTAAACAGGAATTTTGGTTTATACTATAAAACTGTTCCTGGAGCGAACCGCGATATGAAATGTTACTCAGTGTGTATACATAAAAAATGAAGTTCACGAGATTTTATCGACAGCAGTGGATAATAAATACTATAAGCGACACGAAAAAAGAATATCTAAAACAAAATAGTATACCGGCATATTACCGTCCGACACTATGTCTGTTAAATGTTTTTTCACAGGTTATTGACAGCATACATATAATACGGTTTGGTGTAAACAAATAATACCATGAACGTGTTTAATACATAGCAATTACGTCACATATAGCAAATACACATTTCCCTACTAAAAAACTTGACGCTACCAAAGTTGGCCAACTTAATTAACATTCATTCGTACGCCGCCAAGGATAAAATAAAAAATGTTGAAAAAAACCATTCGTCCTGGTGTCGTGTACACATTTATTTTTCTAAGTTACAAGTATTATATTTTTATTAATTATCCGGACACAATATATTAATTGTACTTTTGACTTATTTTATTATGTTTTATTAATATTCGAAGTTAAAAATACCCAGAACAGCAATGTCACGGCATAGTTGGGACAAGTTCAAATAATAACTAACAGTCATTAACATCACTGTAAATAAATACATCATATATATTATATGTTTAATATATTATCATATATTTCAAACCCTTTCTGTACTTACGTTTTTCATTGAATTTTCAAATGAAAAAACACGCCAGAAAAAATCCTTTTGTTTCTAATACACCCTATTAAAATTTCATTATAATAAAATTTTAAAAAATAAGATATAATTGAATTATAATACACAAAAAAAATTGAAAATATTATTTTTAACGGTAGCATAATTTTGAAATATTTTCCTATATTTCAAAACTTTTTGATATTTTTTTATCAATTTTCAGTGATGATACATAGATTAAAATCAGATTATCTTGACATATTGAACATTAAAATTCTTCCAATGAGAACTGAGCATTTTCATGGACAGTTATAAAAAAAACATACTTCATCACAAAACAAATGACTTTTCAGCTTCGTTTGCAAACTAAAATTATACAATTTTAAAGGGTAAGTAGAGGGGATATAACTTTATTTTTTTTTATTAAGTAATGTTTAGAGAATACTATTAATTTCTATTAATAAAAAAACACAGCACACGAGGGTCGCAGCACAGTGGTGACGTGACATAGTTGGATCAAGTATAATAATATTTGACAGTCATTAAAATCACTATAAAAAAAAACGCTTCGATGCAAATCTTTAGATAGTGCTTAATTTTAAAAAATTGGTGGATTATTCCAAAAGCTACATGATCTGCTATTTCCTTATTAATATTTTGGTTAAAATAAAGTATGTTGAATGAAAAAGGGATATAAATATTATTTCTCATAAAAAAAATTATGTTGATCCATACACTTTTCAATAAATTATAGCATTAGAAAGTTAAAAATATAAAAAATAAAATCGAGAATTTTCACACAAAAATAGCATTTGGTAGTCATTTTCACAGTAAAAACAAAATAAAGTCCGAAATTTTTTTTTTCATAAAAAAGTACATTATATTAGCTTTAATTTAAGATATTTATATAAAAGTGTCAGACTTTCCGGAACACTTTCAAGAGTTAAGTTGAAAAGGTTAATTTTTTGTGAAAAGTTGTCATTTTAAATCCCCTCCTGTGGGCAAGTAAAGGGTTATATTTATAAAAAAAATATACTAAATGATAGGTAAAGAAATCAAGCATCTGTAAAAAAAATGATATTCATTTATTCATTTTTAAGAAAGTAACTGCCATTTTTAATGGCAGTTTAAGTAAATAAAATTTCAAAAATTTTAAAATTTGTAATTTTTTTATTTTTCCCCCATTTACGGGGAACGAGGGAAATTTTTTCAATTTTTGATGGTAATTTTTTCGACTAAATATGATTTGTGATCTTTTGACGTATTTTTGAAAGAAATCGGTTCCATGAGAGCTGAGAAAAGTGGTAACAGATACAAAAAAAAACACATCATAGTAAAATTAATACCTTCTCAGCTTCGCATCAAAGCTAAAAATTATTTATCATTAAACCCTCCTATGATTCCTTTTTCTACATTTTAAGGCATAAATTAAATTTCTTAATATATAATTTGTGATGTCATTATATTTATCATGTAGGTTTCTATTTAACTGAAGGTGCTTAAAAATGTCCGAATTTTCACTAACATGCATTGGAAGTTTTTAATGCATACAATGAAATGGAAAATTTTGATAAATAAATAAAATGATATATTTTTATGTAATCATATTTGATACTTCATGTTAAAATTATACTACTTGTGTGTAGATGAATTTTAATTTTTTAATTATTTCTTACAACATTTATTTTTAACATAGTAATTATCAGATCATATAACGGTGATATATTTAAATTTTAATTGGATAAATTTTTGTTTGGTAGCTTACAGAAATACTTTTTATGGACGTATTATGCAGTTGACTTCCAATATTATTTTTATATCGATTATTGTAATTCGTAAACATATAACGATGTGGGAATTAAAATAGTAATAATTCGCTAAAAAAACATAAATTCCTCTTTGGGGGGAGTCTAACATTTAAACTTCCATCTGCTATAATTACACCAATGGATAAGAGAAAAGAGTTGTACTAAAGTTAGATTCAATTTATGAGATTTAATAAAATCAAGAGGTTAAACTCGTTTTTACTCCAGTAAATTCTCTATAAATCAAAAAGGCTACGACTACATCAAGCTGTCATACAGGTGTTAAAAAAATTCTGACAAAGTCGTCAAGGGTCGTAATAGTCATAAATAGTGTTAATAGATCTCACATAATTGCACACTGAAATTATTGAAATCCAACCTGCCTGTATACGAGTAGGTTGGATATCTGCAAGCACTGTGTGAACCGTTGTAATAAAATTGTTGTAAGGTTTTGTAGGGTTTCTGAGAAATATAACTAAAAATATTATTATACCTAATGTACCTATATACCAAAAAATACAAACTGTTTGTGTAAACTGTTGCAGATTTATTGAGACGCCGTTTTATTTGCTTGTGTGCGCACTCTAAACGATCACGGGGACATTTTGTAAAACGGACAACCGCACAGATGGAAAATATAAAAATCCAAAATTAATCAACACTGCGAAAAGGTTTCGACGTGTACTATGCGACGGTGGCGCCTGTACAGTCTGGACTAAGATTTACCATAATATTTATTTGTCCTTAAACGCATATTATACACACACGTTGATTTATATTATGACGTGGTGTTTTACACGCGTTGGGGTTGCAACATAAGAAATTTAAAACGCGCACCGGTTTGAAAGACTTGTAAATATCGATACTCTGGAGACGACTGAGAGTGATGGACCGCGAAAAGAGAATGCATGTAACATGAAACGGTCAATGATCCACAAAGGACTCGCGTTAATACATCCTTAGGCTCTCTGTCCAATAGACCTATAGACAAATTATTATTTAAGGTCCGTTATTTCAAAACAAATAATTTACATTCATTCTTAAAACAGTGCCTTTTTTGTTTTGAGTTCGTTGTGCAAGATGGTGTGTTGAGGTCCCTTTGTCTATGTACAAGCTAATTATTGCTTATTTTTGCCTTGCCACAACATGAAGTTTGATCTCATTTTTTCTATTTACTTGTAAAAAAGTTATAGTATTGGACTCTGCCATTTATTTTTGGTTTTTATTAATAGTGTAATATAAATTATTATCACATAAAAATTACCTTTTTTCTTTTTATTTATAGAATAATTTACATTGGTCAATGTCCGTAATTGCATTATACGGCAATCAATGTCATAAAAGCACAAAGATGCAACACTCTTGTAGGCGGACCCGCACAGAATAGGACGCGAGTAGTCAAGACACCCGTAGGGAGATCTCTAACCAATGGTTCGATCATAACTGATTCTGCGCAGTGTAATTGTATTATTTTAGTTTGATGTGTTGATTGTATTCAACTGTAACAAATTATCTATAATTTGTATATAATAACATATAACAAATTTTTATAGAATTTGACTTAAAACTGAAAACACCTTTTTGCTAATCGTAAATAGAGCAATAGAATCCTTGACGTATATATAAACAATAATATGGAAAAATAATTGAAAATAAATAAAAACAGAATCTAATTTTATAAATTATAGACAGATAAATAAAAATAAATATATATCTTTTAATATTATAGAATTTTTAAAAGGCTTTAACTTAATATATATTTAAAAGACGTAGTCGTACAAGACATTTTCGAAAATTGATATGAACACAATTTTTGGGAATGCGTGGATGGTCTTCTTCAAACTCTTCCTGCGTCTAGGCTTATAATTAGATTATTATTAAAAGTATATTAAGAGTTAGATAATTATTTCTAGTATTACCAATCAAAATGTTGTTTCGGTCTGAATTTTGAAAAATAGTTATAGTGGTTATAAAACGCAGAAAATAATTTCATAATTTTGCCTTATAAATGATAAGCTAATATTGAGATATTTTTTATAAATTTCTATAAATGAGTCTTTTTAACATTTTTGAAAACAATAATTCAACTAGATAAAATTCAAGTTATTTTGACATATAGATCATTAAAATTGGTCTAGGAGGGGGTTGAGATTTTGTATATACAGACACAAAAACATATCAAAATACAATGTCTCTTAGCTTCGCATTGAATCTAAAAATTAAGACCAGTCGTTTTTACTATGCGCAATTTTTGAACTAGGATCGAATTCAAATGAAGTTATACACTTAATAATTTTGGCTATGCTACTTCATATGTTACAAAATAAGTCATAAAATTTAAATCTATTAATTTGCCAAGATTATAGATAGTTTCTAAACAAATATGTGTTTATAAATAAATCTCTATTATAGATACCTTTGAGATAACATCTTGCCTACAAGAGCTTATTTTATTATATTTTATGAGGGCGTCGCTTCAGTAAAAATTAAACTTATAAAGTAACTATGATGATCTATGTCTGACATGCATTAAGCGATTACAATATTAAACTTAATGTTTTATACTGTATCTCTATAGCATTATAATTTATTTTTGTTAATAAAGATATCTTGAATGAACGCCCCTTGGAAACAAATGGGCGGGACTTGCATTTGAACTATAACAAGTGATCTGCATTTAGCCCAGTTGACAGAGCTACACATTGTAGAATCACTTGACTTAAAAGAAACTATACAGTGCAGAAGATATGCTTTTTGAGTTAAATTTTTTTGTTTTATTAATTTTCTAAAAAAATTATTTCATGTTTTAATATTTAAAATATTACATTAGTCACAGTAAATACAGTGATTTGATTAACTGTTTCTTTCTCCGTCGAAATGACTAGTGAAGTTCTAAATTATTCGTCTCGACATTATCAAGGTAAAAAATGTTCTTTTATATCTATATTGTGATAATAATGATCAGACTATATAATAACCGATTACTTGTTTCTTATGTCATTGACCATAAATGTAATAATTTCTAACAAAAACATGTAGAACATATTAGCAAATAAAAATAAAAAGTTAAATCAATGAAACTAAATATTTTTTGATAAACTAGACATGTTGAATATTTTTATTATTAATATTCAATAACGGCATAATTTTATTTTAGCACACAATTTTTGTCATCGAATTTACACTTATTTTGAAATAAATAAAGTTTATGAATTATTTTATTAAATTTGAATAATTAATTTAATAATTTTTACTCCAATAATATTTATGTAATTGTCTTATTTATTAAAAAAATTGTTTTGAAAAACATAATGTATTTCTGAATTGTTAATTATAATTAAATATTACGATATTGAACTACAGAACTACTATATTCCATAAATGTTGTCATTATTTTGTTATTTTTATTATAAACACTGGTTAAACAGCTATTTATTTACTTTTTAGAACTTACTCAATACTAACTGGACTCTTATTTCACCAAAGAATCGACTAAGACTACGCTTTTATTTTATTTCAGTTTATTATTCATTAAATAAAGTTTAAATCCAAATATTATTGCTCAAATTTTATTTTTCGATAATTTATATAGCTAAAAATAAATAATAAAAAATGTCATATGTGATAGGAAAAAAAATTCCTATTTTACTTTAGGTTACTACCTCTATCTCTCTTTATACATATAATTATATAAAGTTATAATATAAATTATATTTATGATTGAATATTAAAGTGAAACAAGAATGTATGGCCGCCGAGAACCGATTAACAGACGATTTGTCCTATTGGACACCGAGTTCACACCAACTAGTTACCTGTGTGAGTCATCCAACTGGTAGCACAACGTCTTCGTCCTCATCATTTATTGACGACGAATCAACATCTTACGAAGACATCACTTACAACAGTTATGGATCAGCCCACATAGCATCGTCCACAATTTCAGATTATGGACATCATTATAATAGCCAATACAACAACAACAATAACTACTACGACAACGGATACTCATCTTTGATAGCAGCAGGATACGATGACAAAACTTTTGATAATAATAACATGACCACGTGTAATTTAAATAGTTCATACAGCGATCCCTACGACCAATCGGTTTCCAATAAACAGTCGGTAAGTACACGACAAATGTAACAAATGTCGGCCGTAATAACAGTCACAATGGTTTTTATTTTTGCCCGTGTAGTTTAGAAAAGAGTGCTCCATTCCCGCTGTTGTATCTGCCAGCTCAACTCCTGGAGTTCGGATAGTAAAGCGGAGAAACACCGCAAACAAAAAAGAACGACGGCGAACACAAAGTATAAATAACGCTTTTTCGGATCTTCGAGATTGCATACCTAACGTACCATCCGATACTAAACTGTCCAAAATCAAAACTCTTCGGTTAGCCACCTCTTATATTAGCTATTTGATGACTGTACTCGATAGCGACGATCCAGATACAGATGGATTTAAAGCCGATTTATCCGTTCACACGTCTAGGAGGTCCTCGTCCAATCACCAAACATCGTGCCGTAGTAACAAGACCCAGCAGGTTAGTGATATTTTATTTATTAGTTATTCATGTATTTTTTTCATCACATCGAGTTTTATTTTTTATTAAAGAGTTGATTTTTATATTGACTACTCTAATAAACTACTAATATTTCCTTTCGGTGTATTTAAAATCTGATTTTGCACTTGAAAAGTCTAAAAATATTCTACGTGATAAACAGTATTGCTCTAAAAAACTTAAAAAAAAACATAAAATACTAGTTACTACGAAAACATCGCGTTTCGTACATTTTAAATGACATAAATAAAAAAACATCATCCACTGAACTAAAGTGAAAATTTTAATTATTAACAAATAAACAAATCATTTTAGCAATAAAAAACTTTATCGGTTCATTGTATGTCATCTTATACTTTTGTTAACTTAATCTTATGGTCTTAAGCTATGACGAGATTCTCAAAATTTAGAATCTAAACAATCTCAATAATTAAAATCTAACTAAATTCTGAATTTTACCTCCTATTCAATTGAAACATCACTACATCTATTAATATATTATACCGAAGTATAAAATAAAAAATTAGAAAATATTTTCATAATTGTTTATTTTATAAGAAACATTTATCTTCCTATATTTAACCAAACCTTTATATACTAAAGCTTTTGCTCAAATTTTCACTCAAAACAGCAATATTTTTGCTGTTTATAAATTATTGCATCTGACCATTATTCATTTAAAACATTTTGTGAAAATCATACTGGTTACGAACCGAATATTTTCGATTAATTATTCATTCTGTTATAAAATCACGCAATTTCGAGTTAATGATTCCCAAAACGAATAATAATTCGACGCGACAGTTGGTTTATTTTACAACAAAAGGGTGAGAAGGACGTGGCAAGTAAAAATTGTCTCTGTTACTTAACGGCTTTATAATAAACGTATACTTTCCAAGTAATTTCGCTATCATAATGCGATTAATTCTAAAGTGTTAAAGGCAATAACATTAAAAATTATTTTGCGCAACCACACGCCATGTGTAAGTAAACGCGCGCACTTGTGTTTGTGAACCGTAACGGATGGGGTAGGACCAATATTATTACTATCATTATTACACTGTGTGCTCATTTCTCCGGCCAGGGGTTGCATCACGTTTAATTTATGAGGTCGGACACGTGACACTGCAGTACATGTTAGGAAAACGAGACAACGACGGAATATTGTCAAGAGTGGATTTCGATGCTTGTTAAGCAAGTGCACTGCGAGTGTTCAAATAAAAATGAATTAGAAACCGAGGTTTTTTTTATTTTTACGTGTCTGACTATTACTATTTTTCAATAAGTGTATCGCATACAAGACATATCTTATATGTGTTTTTCCAGTACAAGTTTTACTTATGTGCTTTTTAATTTGACCTAAGCTAAAATAATAAAAAAAGTTTTTTTTATTTATTTCAGCCATATGCGAAAAATTCGTCTGTAGTGAATGTAAACAATGTCCATGAACACCTCAACAAACGAACTAAAGGAAGAACCGGATGGCCGCAAGACGTATGGGCTTTAGAACTAAAACAGGAACAAGTGTAGAAAGAGCGCTATAGAGTATTACAGTTTTTTATCAATGAATCAATCTACAAACCTAATAAACTGCAGTAATCAAATTCCAAAATGGTTGTTTCAAAAAATTAAAAACAAAATTTAACGTATTTATCATTAGAGATGAAAATGAACATTAACTAGCCAAACTTTTTTACGCAGATTTCAAAACTGTTATTAATCAAATTCGTCAAAAACAAAACGAGGTCTTAAATTTTCTTATTTTTTAACGTTGGTAGTTTAGTCAATTAAAAATAGTGTATGAATTTTTTATAAATTATTATATTACTTTTTTATGAGTATTGTAAAAATCAACTTAAAAGGTATAGAAAAATCGTTAAAACATGACATATTAGTCAAAAATTTTGTACGAAACACCACTATTTTATCAAAAACCAAATTGATAATCATTATAACACGTAATTATTTTGTACTCTTTTGATATATTAAACCTGATTTCCAATAATCAGTAATTGTTACAAAAATATAAGTGTCGAAAATTAAGTAATAACAGATTTGAAATCAGCGCGAAAATTTTATCAAGAGAAGTTTATTGTTATCTCCGACGATAAAAAGGTTTTATTTTATTGATTGGTGTTATTACTCAAAATAATTGTACAATATTGTAGTGTGTTCATAGCGTATAATTATAATTTAGATTTGTTTTATAATTTTATTTCAAAGACCAAAGAGATAATATTTTAATTTGTTTTTTTTTTTTTATAAACGTCAGTAAGATTATTGATTATATAAATATTTATAAGAAATAAATTTTGTTTTGTGTTTTTTGCTATTAGAAATATAATTACCTATTAAAGACTATAATAAATAGATTTATTGTTTTCTAAAAATAATTAGCATTGGGGGATGTCGAGCATGAGAAGTTATTATCAAGAAAGATGTATTTGGAGACGATATTTCAGTATATCCTTGTTAAATATGATACATTATAGCCTATAGGAAAACAAATGTGTAATATAAAAGCAGTGTGTTTATCTTGTAGATTAAAAACATATGATTTTAGAATCAAATATAATTTACCACAATTAGTAGTAACCCGGGGTCGAATTAAAAAAATTAAGTCATTTTATAGAAATATTTTTACCTTACAGTATAATAGAATGACTTGAAAGATCAGAATTACTATCAAATACTAAATATTGTACAAAAAGTGTCATCCATATCTACGTAACAGTCACATTAGGTGTAGAAAATATGTGATACAATTTATTGTGACTACATACCTATAACATTGACGTACGTATAGGTTATACACCAATGGTTTGATAGTTGTTGTCTAAAAGTGTATTTTACTCTAAAAATTGATTCAATTTTCTACAGCTGTTGAATTTTGAACTAGTTTATTATTATTTTTGAATAAAATATTGAGTGTTTTATTTAGCATATTATTAAATCTGATATATTTAAAATAAAAATATGCAACATAACATGTTTAACCATTTTTTAAACCTACTATGATAGTACTGATGACTAGATAAAACTACAGTAAAGTCCGATTAAAATATCAATGCAATTATATAGATGTGACAAGAGTTTCTGACGTCCATTGACAGAAACCTTCGTAAAGCCCGTTAACAGAGAATTTAATTACTGGGCTGCGCAGTTGAACCCTGCGCAGGTTTTTGCGGTAGACTTCTGGTATCGCGTCGAAAAAATTCATCTCGGTTTAATCCAGACACTTGAAAGGGACGAATTACAGATCCAACATGGCGACCTAATCGAGGTGAAAAAGGTGGCGAATACGGTGGTGACCTGGCCGAATGTCGAGTTGCTTCTTCGCTGGCTTCCTCTGAAGACGAACGACTATTTCTTATTGAAATCGGTAACTTTTGTTGGTTGTAAACTACACAAATCAATTTTTAATTAATTATCTGATTTATTTAATTTGGTTTTATAAACTTCACTTATTTCAAACTACTAAGGATGTATTTAAAACAAATTTGCTACTACATACCCAGAGCCGTTTTAAGTACTTTGATGGCCGTAAGCAAATGTTTTAGATAGGCCTAATGGATTATAATCACGTGAAATCAGAGGCATACCTATGGATAATGCCCCCCCAATAAGAAAATAAATACAAGATAATTTTGGAAGGAGTAGTAAAAATATTTTGATAAGAATCATCATGTTATCAAATTTATTTATTTTCATCAATAAAGGTGAAAATGCGATTCTACAAATTAAATTATGTTATCAACTGTTTTTTTAATTATTTATGTAAGTGGACTATTCTACACAATAATATAATTTATATGACACAAATATAAAATAAATTAGATAATTAATTTAAAATTTTTTTTAATGTTAATGTCAATTATTCAATTTTCATGTTTAACTGATTTATTGACACATTGCTTAGGTCATAATATAAAAATAAACAATGAATTCTCAAATAATTCAAGTTTGATATTATTCATTAATAAAATCTACATAACTGATATCACACTTACTCCGATACGCAAATAAACTGGGTAAGTGTGAGATCGCTTTTAAATAAATAATAATATTATTCCATATTTTTAATTGTTATAATATAAAATATAGTAATTTTAATTAATCATTTATTTGAATATAATTACATGAAAAAGTAAGCATTTGATCATATTAGAAGCACAAAAATATTAACAATTTTCTTCTAATAAATAATCATACATATTATCACGTTCGAATATGTATCAGATACACTTATCCCACATCACCTTATTGTTTTCAAGAACCGTATGCAACAATAAATTTGTAAAGAAATGGCTCTATTCACCCCCTCTAATAAATATTTTTTGTAATCATTGTGTCATTTTTCAATATGTAGGTTAGATGCAAATAAAACTAAAAAAAAGTTACGTGATTTTATAAAATTAAATTATCATAATGACTATTTAATTTGTATATAATTAATATACTCACGGGAATTCTCTACCAGTGGTATAAGTACCCAGGGTGCATTAGTTAACAGATCCACTACTGTTTGACTAGCTGATGCCACGCCTGCTTCCGGTCCATTAGAGTTGACATCCACCAAGTTGTATGAAGACCGGCGTTTCCTACGTCCTAGTCTTGGCCCGAACCATATACCACCACTGGACTGAGTAGCACTACCGCGTTTATCTGCCGCAATATGAGACATCAAGTGTCCAATATCATACTGCATTAGTTCAGAGGGTCTAGATAATTCAGAAACTCCCGTTGAATACCATACTGGGTAATCATAATCTAGCGTTTGTTCACCATATTTTTGATTTTCTTGAAAATCTAAAATCAATAAGAAACAATAAAAACGAAAAAACTGTTAAAACTGTTAAAAGCTAAATACAAACGTCTATCTTTATCAGAGTTTTATTACCAGAAAATGTACTATCACTATTAATTACAATTTAGATCATACAATTTTTTTACATCAGTTAATTTTATTTAAACAATAATAGATAAACTCAATGTCGAATTTTAAATGATTTATATTGATTTTTAAAAAGCATCATTCAAATATAAAATAATTAATTCATCTTTTGAAGTAATATATAATACGAACACTTTGTTTCCGATTAAATTCTGTTTTTATTTAAAAGACGCAATTACCAGATACTATCACTTATTTTATAAATATTCATATTTGTTAAATATATAATTATTTAAAATAGTCTTTATAGCTGATATGTATATATGCATATCAGCTAATAAAAACTATAGGCGCAAATGATGAAAAATATTATTACTAATTAAAAAAAATTACATTAAAAATATTTTATACAACTATGTATGTTTATCATTTTTCGAAATGTTTGGAGGTTTTAAATATCTAAATCATCATATTCTAATTTTCGTATATACTAATATGAGTAATTCGATCAGTTTTAACTTTTTCATTAACCAATTACCCTACTTAATCCATTTTGAATGTAATCGATAATTTAAAATAAAAACAGGCAAATTGTGAGGAATGTGTTATTAAAATAATTTACATGTGAATGAAAATTATTTAAAATATGATTTTCATATGCAATGTTAGTTGGTCACTTATTCCTTTTTTCAACGTTGGCAATAATGAAATTAATGATAAAAGCCGGTCTATTATCACATCCATTGATTATTCTTTCTCGAAACATTTTCTATACACATGTGTGTATTAATTTATCTTATAACATTTTTATTTGATAAATTTAATTTAAACTTCAATTAACTTTTTTCAAAATGTCTGATTTATTTGGCAATAATGATAATTTTGATATGCCCTCAGATGTTTCAGACAAAGCAAAAGTTGAAGAGATTCAAAAAATTATAATGATGGAACAACAAAAGGCACAATTAAATGCTCAAGTGAGAAATTAATTAAATTATTATATTTATTATTATTTAAATAATGATCCTCTGCGTAATTTATTTAGATTCAAGAAATTAGTGAAATTTGCTGGGAAAAATGTGTTGATAAACCATCTGCAAAGTTAGGAGGAAAAGCTGAAATATGTATTTCAAATTGTGTTAAAAGATTTTTTGATACTTCTGTTGTTATTGCAACTAGGTTCAATCAATTACTTCAGAGATCAAATTCTGGTTAAATAAATTTTTTTTTTTTATTGCTTTCTTTAAAGTAGTACTTGGGTCTATCATCCAAATGGTTTATAAAATATTCAATACTTAAGAATATTCTTTTTTAACTGTTGTAATCATTAGAATTTAATACAATATAAGATAACTTTTATGTATTTGTATATACATTTTTTTTTTTTTTTNTTTCTTTCAATCTATTAAATTAGTATAATTTCTATCATTAATTAAGAGATTAGTCTGTACTAAACAAAATATTTTATTGTTATTAAATAAAATTTAATTATATATGAATAATAATAATTATTATTATTATATATTTTAACGGGACAAGTCTAATTTATAAATTTTAATATAAAATGAGTAATTCTTAAAGGAGTTTAAAAATTAATAAGTATCAATAATTCAGGAGAATTTATACTGCCATAGAAAAGGCAGGAAAGAAAACTAATACTAATAGTGTGTTTATAGTAAGTTAAAGTTGGGATACCAAATACTAAAAGGAGTATAATAATGTAGGTGACAAAATATTAAATCTATAAGAACATAAACATAGAAATTTTTTTTTTTTTTTTGATACAATCAGTAATAATAATAATTATTATTCGTTCATAATGGTAATAATAACTGCAAAATCCATGCATAAATCTTTGCAACCCATTTGCTCTTTGTTACAAGTTGACTTAAGTTTACATTAAATAAAAAAAACATTTTTGAGTAAAAAATAGAACTTTCTAAAATATTGATTCAATAGTTAAGGTTGAAAATATTTTAATGGATAATTTCAATATTAATGGATTTAACCAAGTATATATTAAAACCAAGGTAATAATAATTTGTTTAAGTATAAAATTAATTATTTTAGTTATCCTTTGTAAAATGTATGGCAATTATAAAGTTGTAACCAAGTACAAAAATACTATTTTACTTGTTTTGACTTTAACTAAATTTTTTTTTGCTAAAAATGTTTTTGTTAGTTGAAAATTATTTGATTTAAATTTATCTTCTTTAATACTCATTGTAATGAGTCATTGAAGTTCTCTAAATTATACTAGCTTTTACTACAATTGAAGCTTGCTGAATGAATTTTCAAGAATTGTTTTATAACAAAGCAAATACTCTATAGCACAATTTGGTTGGTTATATTTACTATATTTTAAAGAACCTGTATGAAAAATTAGAATCAATATACTTAATTTTAGAGTATATAATAATTGGAAAATCAATTAAAATAAAAGATGAATTATTGTTTTATAAATATTGAATATTTTCTTTTAATTACTAGTACCATTCAGTTTAAATAGATTAATAATTGCTATTTTTCTCCCTTATTTAATGAAAAAAAGTATTATTTCAAGATAATTTTTATTAACTTGAACTATGAAAACATCATAAAAAATTATACATTAAGTAGTATATTTCTGAACTATCAATATAAACAATTTTTTCCTATATGTTTTTTAATATTTTAAATAAAACCCATTTTTTTATAAAATTAAAAGTTATTTATATCAAATCTTATTTTGAGTTTTATAAATTAAATTATAGTTCTACCGAAAAACTCGAAATATTTTATTTCATTTGTAAAATAATTAAATGCATATAAATTTTTTATTATATATAAATTCAAGTTAAAAGTAAAATATTTTTTAGCTTAAAAAATAGAAACAATAATAGAAGATAAAATATGTAATTTAATACTTAAAAGCTTGGTTTTAATTATACTTAACAAACACTTAACATAAATTAATACATACCACTTAAAAAATTACCCTCAGACAGCAAAATTGAACTTGCAATAAAATATATGTAGTATATAATAAACATTTTTAATAAAATAATTTATACTAGTTTATTAATTAAGGGAGCTAGACTAAAATATACACAGACAAAGAGAAAAGATTACATTAAACTGAAATTGTTTCTCACTACGCAAATCCTTTTATACATTTAAGATACCTGAAAAGACTATCAATCCTAATTTAGCAAAACAACAAAACCAACCTAGAGGGCGAAGTATTGAATGAATTCAATATATTTTCATTTGCGACTTATCAAACTTCCTTTTATATACTTATATTTATCATTTGCTTTGCTTGTGTTTATTGGAAAGTTAGATTCGTTTTCTAATAAGAACATACGATTAATTGTCAGATTTTAACAAAATATTTATTATTAGTTGTTCTCTTTATTAGAAAAATCCTAGTTTTTATTATATTATATTCATTAATTAAGTGATACTGACTAAATTCATATTTTTTTCTAAACCAGCTCTTATGGCCTTGCTAAAGTTGGTAGGGCAACAGAAGCAAATTTTCTAGGTCACCACACATTTGAGGATCACCATGTTAATACAATTTTTTTACATAAGATTTATTTGTTTAAAAATTTATTAAATAGGGTTGCCAAATAAATTATTTACTCCTTAGGATGCCAATGACAGATAATACGACATTGCTAGCTATACTATCTCGTTGTTAATAAATGTCTTTTTATGTTAACAGAAAATCTTTAATTATGAAAATATAATTTTCAATTAAATAGAATGTGAAAATTTATTTAATGTTATTTAATAATATAGGCTGATTAGGAGTTAATAATTAATTCATGTATTCAACCGAATGCATTGAAACAATGATAAATTAATATATCTCATATTAAATTATATTGTATATAACTGTACTTTACAAGTTTCAATATTATATTAGTCTTAATTAATATTAATAAATGACAATAAAATTACTATGTAACGCCCAAAAAAAATTTTGTTAAACATTTCTTAAATATCGCTCTATATAAGTGAATTATTTGAGAAAATATAAAAAAAACAATAACATAACATTTTACTTAATTATTACTAGAGTTGAAAAATGTTTTATTTTCACAATGTTTGAAACGTTCAAAACAAGGAAAAAAAACAATTTTTTTTAGTAAAATGTTGAGGTTTTTATTATTTTTTGAAAATGACATATTTAACCTATTTTTTTAATCCTTTAAAGTTGATTTTTGTGAAAGTTTATAATAAAAAGAAATCAATTTATTAACGAACAAATTTGCAAATTTGAAATTGACATCATTAAATAAAAAAATTTATGAGAATTAAAAAAATTGTATTGTTAAGATTAATATGCAGTCAGGAAATTTTATAATTACTATGTATAGTAAATTTATCAGAAAAGCTAAATATTTTTTTGAATTTTTATTGTAATAGATAACTGAAATAGAAATAATAGTTAATCATTTTCTAGTAACTTTTGGTGTTTAAAAAGATTCTACAATTGAAGTTAATTAATTTTAATGATTTATTTTAACTAAAAGAATCAATCAAAACAAAATTGTTAAAAAAATTTACTCAATTGAGCGTATTATAAAATCTGATTTTAATTTTAAAAATCCATTATTAATTCAGTAGAAACTAACAATCATTTTTTTTAGAAATGATATATATATAACAACATATTAACAAAAAATTTGGAATATTATAATCTAGTAGTAGCACACACAAATAAAATAAAAAAATTATTAAATTACTAAGTAAAATATTTTAATTTTGTAGTTGAAACCTATCATATCAAATATAATTCGTCAATAAATACTTTGAAAACATTAGAAATGAATGATATTAATTGTTTGTATAGAGAACATGGGATATGTAACTGTTTTATTGATAAATTAGAATTTTTGAGGGTAATGTCTTCAACTAATTGTAATTTTTTGACGTATCGTTGAAAAATGTAGGTGAAGTTAGACCAGAGAAAATAAATAATAGTCACAAAAATATACCTTTTCAGCTTTGCATCGAAGCTAAAACTTAAAATATAGTAAAATAATTTTAATATGAATAAGAAATTTCTTTTTGCGAGGGGCTACTACAGTGATGGGATACTTGATCTTTATTGAAGTTATTGAATCTAAATGAGATAAAAAGAAAGGAGTTGAAAATTTATTCTAACTTATAAAGCATCAAGAAAAAAATGCATAAAATTACTTGCCATACGCGGGTTGGAAATTTGTACCCCAAGCGCGTAAGACACAAGTTTTACCGACTCGGCAACCGTACCTCCCTTCCGACGATTGAAAAAAAAGCAATTTAAGCTAGTTTAAATTTCAAAATTATTTTTCTCGAATTAAAAAAAGCAAAAAAATTAAAATAAGTTTAACTTTCTATACTATATCTTTATAGTATATAAATATATATATATATATATTACTATATACTTGATTTATATAATATTTATGAAAATCAGTGTACTCCTCTTGTCAGGTATTTTAAATTAAAATAAAATACAAAACCCAGAATTTTAATATAAATACAGCATTTTTTTTGAATATAGTGACTATTTTCACCATAAAAACAAGTCTCAGAGGTCAAATTTTTATTTTTCATACTAAAATGTATTACATATAAAAGTGTCAGTATACCCGGAACATTTTCAAAAATGATGTTAAAAAAGTAGTCATTTTGAATCCCTCCCTGTGAGCAGGTAATGGTTCAGATTTATAAAATTGAAAAAATTAACGATTTTAAAATTTGTAATTTTTTTGGACCTTATTAAAAAAAAAAAAATTGTAAATTTTTAGATACAAAGTAAGAATAGGTATTTGGAATGTTGGAACATTAACTGGTAGAAGTGGAGTAATAGTAAAAGTATTGAAGAGGAGAAAGTTTAATATTTGTGGTGTGCAGGAAACTAAGTTGAAAGGAAAGAAATCGAGTGAAATAGTTCAGGGTTATAAAATAATATACTCAGATAAGTCTAGTACAAAGAATGGTGTAGGGACAATAATGGATGAGGAGATGAAAAGTNTATACTCAGATAAGTCTAGTACAAAGAATGGTGTAGGGACAATAATGGATGAGGAGATGAAAAGTAAAGTAGTAGAAGTAGCTAAGAAAAGTGACAGAATTATGGTCGTAAAGTTGATATTTAAAGAAAAAACACTGAATGTAATAAGTGCCTATGCACCACAAGTGGGATGTGATGAAATAGAAAAGGAAGTGTTTTGTTGAGAGATGGATGAGGGGATGCAACCTGGAAAAGAGAATGCGGTGATATGAAAGGACATGTAGGTAATGGGAGGAGAGGATATGAAAGAGTACATGAATGGTATGGTTTTAGTGGGAAGAATGAGGCTGGAAAAAGAATACTGGATTTCGCAGTATCGTATGATCTATCTGTGGTTAATACTTATTTTAGAAATAGGGAAGAACATTATATAACCTATAAGAGTGGGAGGTATAAATCACAGATCGATTTTTTTATGTGGAAGAGAGAGAGCGTACAGCGAGTAAAAGATTGTAAAGTTATACCAGGCGAAAGTGTAACTACACAACATAGACTGATGGTAATGGAGTTGTGGTGTACCGGAAAAAGAATAAACAAAAATAGAAGAAACACAGGCGAAAAATCGAAGATCCGGTGGTGTAAATTAAGAGGGGAAAATGAAAGACTTTGTAAAGGCAGTAAAAAAGAGGACGGTGTGGAATAGATTTGATAGTGTGTAAAGAATACTGCAAAGGAGATTGTTGGTGAGAGTAGGAGTAAAATGCCAGGAAACAAGGAAACCTGGTGGTGGGATGAGGATGGTCAAAAAATCATAGAAAGGAAGGCGAGAAAGAAAAATATAGACTTGTAAAGGTAAGAGAGAAAAGGTTTAGACATTATCATTACATAAGGTGTATAAAAAGTGTTGATAATAAGGTACTCTCGAGTGATGATGATGTAAAAAGAAGGTGGAAAGAGTATTTTGAAAAATTACTGAATGAGGAGTACCCAAAAGAGACATTAGAGGATATCCCATGGAATGAGGGACTGGTAGATTTAATTAGTGAGAAAGAGGTATCGGAGGCTGTGGCATCAATGAAGAAGAATAAAGCAGTGAGACCAGATGAAGTGCCAGCAGAAGTATGGAAAATATTGGGCGGTGTTGGCAAAAGGTGGTTGAAGGAACTTTTAAATAAAATCTTATTTGAAGGGAAAATTTCAAATGATTGTAGGAATAGTATTGTGGTGCCGATATTTAAAGGTAAAGGAGACATACAGGAGTGTGGAAATTACAGAGGTATAAAGCTTATGAGTCACAGTATGAAAATTTGGGAAAATTAATAGATAAGAGAATAAGAAATGAGACATCGGTATCTAAAAACCAGTTTGGATTTATGCCTGGTAAGTCAACAATGGAGCCAGTATAATGTGTGAGGCAACTAATAGAAAAGTTTAGGGAAAAGAAAAAAAAGGTGTGTATGGTATTTATAGATTTAGAGACAGCGTATGATACAGTACCAAGAGAGGTTCTCAAGTGGGCATTAATTAGAAAAGGAGTACCAAAAAGGTACATTAATATAATAGAAGATGACACTTGTACCAGGGTAAAAAGCGTAGGAGGATTATCAGAAGGTTTTCGGGTAAGTGTAGGAGGAGTGGACCAAGGTTCTACTTTAAGCTCTTACTTATTCTTTATAGTGATGAATGAAATTACTAGAGAATTTCAAGGAGAGGTGCCGTGGTGTATGTTGTTTGCTAACGATATAGTATTAATAGGAAAAACGGTAGCACAGTGGGGTCGAGGCACAGTGTGGACGAGGCATAGATGGGACAAGTATAGATGATATCTGACAGTGATTAAAATCACTATCATAAGAAACGCTTCGATGCAAATCTGTAGATAGTGTTTCCTTTAGAGAAATTGGTGAAATATTTTAAAAGCAACATGAACTCTTATTTCTTTAATTATATCCTGATTAGTAGTTCTTTGATTTTAAAATATAATATATGAATAAATACTAATTATAGTTTTTAAATTTAGTATGAAATTGTGAGGCCAGCTATGATGTATGGTTAATAGTGTTGGGCGGTTGATAAGAAAGTAGAGCAGAGAATAAGTGTAGCAGAGA